GCGTTAGATCGAGCGAGGGCGAGCAACATGAGGCGGGGGGCACTGCAGGGGGGAGCAGCGCGCGGGCGAGGCGCACGCACCCGGCAGGCCAAGCAGGCCGGTGGGCTCCTCCCGGAAGATGGCCGCCAGGGCGTCGAACTCGGCGCGCCACGAGAGGAAGGCAATCAATTGGTTCCTGAGTTAGCGTGCCGGGGTTCCGAGGCCCGGGCCGCCGTCCGGGCGTGTGGGGCGGGGCGATGTCAGCCACGGCGGGACAGGAAGCGATCAAAGGACAGGTGTTGGATGGAGGAACGGGGGGGCGCGAGGGGGCGAGGCGTGGGACCACAGGCCATCCCGGCTGCCCCGGGCGCCGGGCCCGGCGCACAAGCGGGCAAGCGGCCGAGAGGGGTGGGAAGGGGAGCGGCGAGGGGGGGGGGCCAGATCAATGACCCAACCGCAACACGCACCGGCCGAACCAGGAGCCGGCGATGGCCAGCACGTCCTTGGAGGGGGGGTGGACGGTGGCCACGGCGGCGGTCACCTCGCGCCCGGGCGCCGGGCTCCGCGGCGAGGCCAGCATGGCCACGGGAACCATCATGGGCGAGGCCAAAACAGGGTCGGCATCGCCGGGGCCACGGGCCTCGGCGTCGCCCTGGCGCGGGGAGCGCGGCTGCACCGGCACCCCGCCGGCGTGGAAGGCCACGCCCGGGCGGCCCAGGCGCCGGGGCGAGCCCGGCGTGTCGACGGCCGACGCGGCTCCCGGGCCGTACCCGGCGCTGAGGGCCGCATTGAGGGCATGCTCGGCCACGGCGCCGGTGGCCACGGCCACGGCGATGGCCGCATGCAGGGCCCGGCGGACGGCCGGCCGGAAGCCCGGATCGGCGGCCGCCGCGGCCGGGTGCGCCGCCCGCGCCGCCAGCTCGCTCAGCAGGTGCGTCCAGGCGGCCGTGCACTCCGGGTGAATGGCCCCGAGGGCCTGCTGCGCGCCCTGGATGGCGTACGGCAGCGACTCGGCCCCGGGGAGCAGCAGCTGCGGCACAGTGTCGGCCAGGACCTCGGCCAGGGCGTCGGCCGCGCGGCGGAGCGGCTCGAAGGCCGCGGCTGCTGGCGGGCCGCCAGCCGGCGCGCCCGGGGCCGCAGGGGCGACCGCCGGCGCCCCGGCCGGCGCCGGCCCCGACCCCGCCGGCGACCCGGCCGACCCGTCCCCCCCCAGCAGCAGCTCCACCGACGGGCTGTACCCGACAGTGTCGATGGCGCGCGGGGAGAAGCGCCGGCGCAGGGCCGCCGTGGGGGGCGACCGGCCGGGCGCCGCCGTCGCCGCCGCCGGGGCCGCCGGGGCCGCCGGGGCCGCCGGGGCAGGCTCCACACCCAGGCCGGCATGGCCCGGCGGCGGCTCCGCCACGCCCGACGGGCAGAAGATCCCGCTCCACCGGGCCCCGGACGCCAGGGCCTGGGCCATGTTCAGCGGCCCGAGGTAGGACGGCCGGCTGGGGCCGCCGCCGGTCAGGAAGGCCGCCGCCGGGGTGAGAGCCGCCTCGCCGCGCCGGTCGCACGGCTGCCCGGACCACAGGAGCATGTCGGTGGCGCGCAGGGCCGCGGCCGTGGCGGCCTCCACCGCGGTCAGGCGCTGGAGGATGGTCCAATTGGCTCGGGCCGCGGTGGCCAACTTGCGCCGGGCCCCCTGCGCCGAGACGCCCACCATCCCCAGGGCCACCGGGTCCATGTGGGCCAGCGTGCGCAGGTCGATGTGGGCCAGGTGGTCGGCATACTTGTGCAGGCGCAGGGCCCGCAGCCAGAGGCCCCGCAGGCCGGCCACCGCCTCCAGCGGGCAGGCCAGGCTGCTGGCGGCCGGGGTGGCCAGGTGCGATGCCGGGCGGCTGTCGGAGCCCCGGTCGGGGGCCAGGGCAGCGCCGGGCCCGGCCTCGAGGCCGTCGCCGCCGCCGCCGCCGCCGCCGCCGCCGCCGCCGCCGCCGCCATGGCACGCGTACCCGGCCAGCAGGGCGTTGGCCTGGCACCGGGCGGCCGCGGCCGGGCCGGCCCCGGCGCACCCAGCCCCCGGCGCGCAGGGCCCCCCGGAGGCCGGGTACTGCGGCGGCTGCGGCTGCTCCGGCCGCAGGGGCCCGGCCTGGGGGAAGCCGCAGCCCTCGGCCAGGCCGCTGTCGGCCCCGGTGGCCGAGTCCTGCCGCAGGAGGGCCCCCTGCACGGCCTGGCTGGCGAGGGTCTGATTGGCCGCCAGGGCCAGCAGCCCGCCCGGGGCCCCGACCGCCGCCGAGGCAAAGCGCACCATGCGCGAGAGGAAGGGCTCCTCGAGCCCGGCGCCGATGTGACCACCGGCCCCGGCCACCAGGGCCGAGCTCCAGTCACGCTCGTGGTCGCGCGCGCGCTGCACCGCCGCAAAGTGCCGGATCAGGTCCCGCGAGGGGGCCGGGTTCATGGGCAACAGGACGCCGGCGGGCCGGGGGCCATGGGCCGTGCCGGGGCCCGGGGGGCCGGCCTGCTCCGGGCCCGGCGCCCCGGCCGCCGTCGGCCCCGCGTCGCCGCCCTGCCCCGGGTGCTGCCAGCCGGCCATGGCCGGGAGCAGCGGGCTCCGCACGGCCCCCGGGCCGTCGTGCGCCTCGGTCCCCGGCGGGATGCAGCTCAGGCTGAAGGCCGCCGGAGGGGAGAGGGCCGCGCGCGGCGACGTCGGCGTCACCGGCATCGTCTGGACATGGTGCGCGGTCAGCGGCGTCGGGTACAGCAGGCTGGACGTGCGCCGGGTGAGGGGCGGCTGGGCCGTGGTCAGGGCCGCCGGGGGGGCTGGCTGCGTCGAGGCCGCCAGCGCCTCGGCTTCCAGATCCGCCAGCATGGCAAGCCGCGGGGAGAGCAGCGCCCCGCCGGGGGCGGGCCGGCGCCCGGGGCCACCGGCAGCCCCGGCCCGTGGCGAGGTCGGCCGCACGGCCGGCCCCATCGGCCCGGGTCCGGCCTCGCCGCCACCCAGCAGCGGGCAACTCCGGCCCGGGATCTGGATCGACAGCCCGGGACGCCGCGGCGGCCGGCCGACACCGGTGGCCGCCTCGGCCGGGGCCGGGGGCTCTGGCCGGTCGCCGGCCGGCGGGGGCCCCCCCGGCTGCGGCACCGTCTGGGCGAAGGGCGCCGGCGCCATGGCCGGCGGATCCACCGGCCGGGGTCCCTTGGGCCCGGCCGGCCGGGCCAGGGCGCGCTCGTGGCGGAACTCGCGCAGCCCCACATGCCCGTCGATGGCCACACGGATGTGCTCACCGAGGACCTCGGCAAATTCGCGCTGCGGCCCGGCGAAAGCCGGGTGCATGGAGATGATGGTCACCAGCAGGCGCGCCTGGCGGAAGGACCCGGCCTGGATGGGGCCGCCCTCGGGCCGGGCCTTTGCCGGGGCCTCCTCTTGGCCGCACAGCCGCACCACGGCCGCGGTCATCTCGTGCGCCGCGTCCAGGTACCCGGTGGTCAGAGCGGCCAGGTCCTCCGGCACGCTGACATCGCGCAGGAAGGTGATCTAGCGTGGGCATCGGCCATGGGCGGGCGGGCGGGGGGGGGAGGGGGGGGGGGGGAATACGCAAGCCGCGGACGCGGGGCCCGCCAGGGAGAGCAAGCGGCACAGGGAGCGAGAAGGAGCACCAGCGCAGGGCGAGGGAGATGACTGTCAGACACTTTGGCCCGTGCACAGGGGACCGGGCCAGGCGCAGGGACAGGGGCGCGGGCTGCGGCGGTGGCCCGCGGCTTCCGGGATGCCGGCACGCCAGGACGCCGCGCACGCACCAACGAGATCAAGCGCTGGGCCATGGTTTCGATGGCCTCGATGGCCGGGCCCGGGTCATCGCGCAGACGCCGGCAGGCTTCGGCCAGGCGGCCGGTCAGGCTGCGGATGTACGCCGCATCATTGGCATCGCTGCGGTGCGACGCGCGGGCGATCTCCAGGCGCTCATGGACCCGGTCGAGGTCCTCCTCGGCCAGGGCCCCGGCGGTCGGCCGGCCGGACAGCCGCGGGGACAGAAGCACCGGCGCCCCGGGCACCACGCCGGTCGGGCTGCGCGGGGGCAGCTGCTCCGGCGCGGCCCCATGGGCGCCCGGCGCGGTGGCTTGGATTTGCGCACGCTCGCGCAGCAGCCCCTGGCCGAGGGCCTCCACCAGGAAGAGGAGCTCCCCGCCGCGGAGGGCCCGCTCGGCCGGGGTCGGCTCCAGGGACGCGGCCAGCCGCGGGGATAGCAGCTGCTGCCCGGCCGTCGGGCTCGGGCAGCCGGGATCCGGGCCGGTGAAGGAGCTAGCCGGGGCCAAGCGCGCGGCCGGATCCGCCGGGCCATCGGTCGAGTAGGTTGCCAGGATCCGCAGCAGCCGGTAGACACACGTCAGCTGGACATGCGGAGGGGAGGCCACAAAGGCGCTCTCAAACTCCGGGAAGGGCGGCAGGAGCATGCTGACCCGCGCGACACGCCAATGGCCAAGAGCCGGCGAAGGGCTTTCCCGGTAGGCGGGGCTAGGGGGAGGGAGGGGGAGCGGGAGACGGAGGGGGCGGAGGGGGGTCTCGACCAGGGGGACGACACGAGGGGGACCGACAAACGGGGTGGGGAGCCGGCGGGGGAGCCCGCCTGCGCACACACACACGGAGAGGAGGGCGATGCCTTTGGGGCACGCGCAAAGGGACGAGGTCGGTGGATATTCCCCCGAGAGCAGGGAACGGGAGAGACGGAGAGAGATAGGCAGATGGCGGTCAGAGGAGGGAGAGCCAAGAGTCAAAAGGGGCGAGGCAAGGAGAGGGACGGAGAGGGACGGAGACACGATGGGCGCCCGTCGGCGTGCTCCCGGCACCGCAGCCACTTTTGACTCTTGGCTCTCCCTCCGTCGGTGTGGCACCCCCGCCTCTCCCCCCCCCCCCCCCCCCCCCCCCCCCCCCTGCCTCCTTCCCCGCCGCACCTCGCGTGCGCCAAGGTCCGAGGAGCTGGCCACGGAGTGCGCGCGGCCACTGCCCAGCGCCAACACTCGCCGCACGCCGACCCCCCCCCCGGAGGGGCAGAAACCAAAGTGGGGGGCATCGTGCGTGTGTGCGGTCGCCGCCGGTCTCGAGCCCCATACACACCCGGGGCGGTGTGGCAGAAGGGCCCCATGTGTGCAGGCGCTCTCGGGCCTCCATTGCCCCTCCCTTGATGCCACGCCCATTTGCAACTTGCACGCCCTTGCACACATCTGCGAACAGGCACGCTGATGGCGCCCTTTCTGTGGTTTGTGAAAATAAAAGTCATTTCCGATCGGCCAAGCTCGCACGGCCTCCCTGTGCGGGCCATGTGCAGCACGCCGGCGCGCGGCCGATGGGGCGTGAAAATGAAATCCGGGCGCCGTGGGGACACAGCCCACAACCCTCCGCGGATCAGGTGGACGTCACGAGCGCTGTCACATGCCCACGCCTCGGGGCCCAGATCGAAGAGCCACCATCGCGCGCGTGTATCGACGTGTCCGCCACCCTGCCTCTCTCCCCCCACCCTCCCCGATCTGCCCCTTTTTTGCTCCTGCCCAAACTCCGCCCTTTCTCGCCACACGATGGTCCGCTTCTTCCAGAGCACTGGTGCGCAGCCGTGACGTTGGTTTGTCCCTGTTCCTCGGTCCCTCCTCGGGCCTCCCCACTGTTGGGCCCGGCCGATCTTCCCCATGTCTCACACCCCTCTGTCCTGCCCTCCGCCGCGGGGACGTCCCCCCCGGCCAGCCACCGATCCTCCGACCATGATCTACGTCGGTCGCGACAAGGAGGAGAGTGCGTCGATCGTCTGGTCCCCTCGCGTGCGCCCCCTCTGCGCTTCTCTCGAACACCCCCTTACCCCTTCTCCCTCTCCCCCGCACACACACACACACACGCACAGACGAGGACCTCATCAAGCATGGCTGGGATGAGGATGTCTGGTACGACACGTCGGCGCGCTCCCGGGCCCGCCCACGCTCGCCCCCCCCCCTCCCTTCCCCACCCCCCTTGTCCCTCTTTGCCGGCTGACATCCCACCCTCGATGCGCTCTGCGTCCTCCCTTCGCCCGCGCGCCGAATGTAGGTTTCACGTTGACAAGCTCTCATCGGCTCACGTCTACCTGCGCATGAGCCCTGGCATGACCTGGGACAACCTGCCTGAGGCGCTGCTGAACGATTGCGCGCAGCTGGTCAAGGCCAACAGTATTGAGGGTGCGTCACGCCGGGCCCCGCGAGCCATTGGGCTTGTGTACGAGCGCGCTTGCCTGCCAACAAACTCTCCATGCGGCACGTGTGCATGTACCGAAACTCACACACACACACACACACACACACACACATGCAGGTAACAAGAAGGACAACATTTCCATCATCTACACCCCCTGGTCCAACTTGAAGAAGACCGGCGCCATGGATGTCGGCCAGGTGTCCTACCACAACCCGAAGCTCGTGCGTTTCTCATCCCTCGTCAGCAGGATGGGCCATTTGGCCATGCTCGCCTGCGGGGCCCATGCTAACCCCCCCCCCCCCCCTGCCCTCCCCTCCGTCCAGGTCCGCTACGTCAAGGTGGCCAAGCGGTGCAACATCACGGTCAACCGCCTGAACAAGACCGAGCGCATCGAGTTCCCGGACCTGCGCGCCCAGAAGGAGGAGCACCTGAACAAGCTGGCCTTCGAGAAGCGCGAGCACCAGCGCCAGCTGGACAACCAGTCCCGCGAGCAGCAGCGCCTCGCCCGGGAGGAGAAGGAGCGCAACAGCTACGACCGGCTCTTCGAGAACACCGGCTCCATGCTCTCCAACAAGGAGGCCAGCATGCTGGGCATCGATCTGGAGGAGGATTTCATGTGAGCGCTTGAGAGAGCCGTCCTCCCGTGTAGCTTCCCTCCCCCTCCCCCCTTTCTCGCATGTACGCGCGGCTCAAACTCCCGCGCCACACTCGGGCCTCGGACACATCCTGCGCAGGCTTGCCCTGGAGAATGCCCTCCCTTTGCCACCTCCCGAATACACCCCTGTGCGCGCACACGCGCTTCACACCCACGTTCGGAGCTCGCTGGCCCGTCGGAGGAACTGACAGGCGGGAAAAGAAGGAAATCGCCTTCTTCTTTGCCTGGCGCCTCCTCCCCAGCTACGGCCGTCTGACCTTGCGCAAGTCCCCCCCCCCCTGCAGCGTCCTGGTCGGAAGCCTGTGCGGTGGCCAGCGCGTGCTAGGAATACCGGCCATCGGCCCCTGTCTCCCGGGCAGATGGAGTGTGCCGAGGCCGGGCGAGGAGCGGCCACCCACGAGAGAAGTGCACGAGGAGGCTGCGGCAGCCTGCCTGCGCGCCTCTGGATACACCAAAAACCTCCGAGGGCGCCCCCCAGCGCGAGGGTCTCTTCCTCTGAGACGGCGCTCCTGCCCGCTCCGCTGCCGGCCACATGCTGATGCCCATGCGCCAGGGGCTCCTTTTTGGCTCTTGGCCAAGCCCCCCTCCTGGCCCCGGCACCAAATGCGCCCCCCCCCCTCCCCCCCGGTGTGACTCCTCACCCCTCCGCCTGCCCGCCCGCCCGCCTCCCTCGCTGCCTGCCCCCGGCCCTCCTCCCCGCACCGGCACCGGCATCGAACGACACACACGCCCGACCGTGGGCCTCGCCTCCTCTGCTACATACATGTATATACATAAACACAAATCCTCCTGCGCGTGTGTCGCGTTTGTGTGTGTCTACGTGCACATGGTGGCGGAGTGCGCCACGCGCGCGCTCCTCCTACGCACGCGCTCACGCGCGCACACATGCACACATACACACACACACACACACATACACACACACAAGCACACAAGCACCGAGACATAATCCATCAGACTGTGCCGGAGGCGGCCGCCGCCGCCGCCGCCGGGACCGAGGCAGGAGAGGGCAGCGCTTCGGCCGGACGCGCCCGCCGGCGGACTTCCATCTCGTGCTGGTCAATGCGGCAGAGGAGGTCGCGAGCGGCGCGCGACCGCGCGGCATACATGCCCAGTCGGTCGCGGATGACATTTTCCAGGCCCAGCAGTGCCCGGCCGATGGCCGGCACGGTGTCCGGGCCGGATTGGTGGATGGCCGTCCGCAGGACGCGCTCCCACCGGGGGGCCAGCTTGCCCTCGACGTCGACCATGCGCAGGCGACTGGCCTGGTCACGCACGGCATACAGCTGGACCACGAAGCGCTGGCCGTACTGGCGCAGGCGCTCCACCGATTGCTGGGTCTCCTGCCAGTGCTCGGACCGGGGCCGCCACTGGTTGCTGTTGGCGGGGTCGGTGCCCGTGGGGCTGAGCCGGGCCAGGTCGTCGTCCTCCTCGTCGTCGTTCTCCTCCTGGTCGGCCTCCCCTTGTTGCTGCTGCTGATGCCGCTGCTGCCCACCCTCCTCCTCCTCCTCCTCCAGGGCAGCCGCCCCATGGGCGAGGAGATCCGGGCGGGGGGGGCGGCGGCCCTGGCGGCGGTCATCATCGACCTCATGCTGGGCGTCATGGCTCGGGTGGCTGTCAGAGTCCAGCACGGAGCGCATGTCGCCAAGGGTCAGCGGCCGGACCCCGGCGCCGGGCCGGTGCTCGGCCGAGGGGCCCGGCACATGGTCCGCATCGGAGGAGGACCCGGAGTCGCTGCTGGCATCGTCCGAAGACACATCCAGCAGACGGAGGCCGGCCGGGGCGCCGGCCGAGGCGCCGGCCCGGCGCAGGGCCCGACGTGCCTGCCGGCGTTCCCACATCTCGCGGTCCTTGCGTTGCTTGTCCACCACGCGGCTGTGGGACTCCACCGCGCGGGCCACATACGACACCAGGCGCGCCAGCTCGGCCATGCTGCCCTCCAGCGAGCCGAGCGACTGCTCGGTGGACTTGAAGACCGCCCGCAGGGCGACCACCGCCTCGCGGCTCAGGCACCCGAAGAGGATGCCGCTGGCGGCCAGCGACTGCGACACCATCGGCGACACCGGGGTCTGTCGGCCGTTGGCCGAGGGCGAGGCGGCCGCCGCCGGCGAGCCGGGCACCATGTCCGCGGCCGGGCTCGGCAGCAGGGGGCTGATCGCCGGCAGCCCGGGGCCCCCGTCGTCAGGGGTGGCCGGCACGCCGTTGGACCGGGCCGCCGCCGGCGGGGTCAGCGCCCCGAGTAGCAGCTGCCGGCGCACCTGGCTGAAGATGTCCAAGACTTGGCGCGCACGGTGGAAATGGTCCAGCCCGGCCACGAAGGCGGTGTTCACCTTGCACGCGGTGTCCAGCAGGTCGGCCTCGGCGCTGACGTCGCTGCTGCCGCCGCTGCTGCTGCTGCTGCTGCTGCTGCTGCCGTCGCACTGGCGGACGAGCGTCGTGCCGAGGGCCCGCTCGACATTGGACCGGGCCGACTCCAGGCTTCCCTCCATGGCCAGCAGGCTCTGGGTGAGGAAGCGCATGGCGACCATGGCCAGTGTCATGAGGGAGTCCGATTCGTGGGCGGCCGGCACGCGGCCGAGCCCCATCCCGGGGTCCGGCTTGGATGGCGGCGGCGCCGCCACGGCCCCGGGGCTGGGGGCCGTGTCACCGGCGGCCGGTGCCAGCCCCGGCGAGGTGGGAGCCGACACCGAGCCCGCGGTTTCATGGGCCCCGCGGCCGGACTGGTCGTGGCCCGGCCCGTGCGGGACCGCCGGGAGGCTGCCGGACGCCGGCCGCAGGCCCGGGCCCGCTCCTCCGGCCGTGGGTTCCGCCGCCACGAAAGGGGCCCCGCGAGCGGTGAACACCACGCTGGAGGGGCCGCCGCCGGGCCCATCGGCCCCGGCATCCGGCCGGCGCGGCCCCATCGGCAGCTCGACCACCACGACGGCGGCCGGCGGGGCCGGAGTGCCGACCTCGGCCGCGGCCGGCCGGCACGCGCTACCGTCGCCCGGCGACGAGGATGGCGCCATGTTCGGGGGCCCGGCTGGGCCGGTGGCCGGGCCGAGGGCCAGGTCTTCGGCCGTGCTGCTGGCCTCCACATTGAAGGACCCGCAGGCTTGGCCGGCCGCGGCCGACATGGCCGGGCCATCGGGGGCGGTGGTGGCGGCGGTGCCGGCGCCGGCCGGCGTGCCGGTCGAGGGCTCGGGAGCCGGACTCGCGCCCTCGGGGGGGATGCCGGCGGCTGCGGCCGGGCCCGGCCTGGCCGGCAGATGCTCCGATGTCGGGGTCGAGGTCAGGTCCGGGACCGAGTCGGGTCCCGGCAGCGGGTCGACCCGGCCCTCGGGGTCGGCCTGCATGCTGCGCTGCAGGCGCCGGGCTTGGCGCTCAAGGGACCGGCGCTCGCTCGGGGCCAGGACCCGCTGGCTGACGCTCGAGGCGGAGAGCGGCCCGCCGGCCAGCATCTCCTCCACCCGGTCCTCGCTGATGGCCGGCTCGGCCGGGGGCCCGGCCGACACCGGGGTGCGAATGCCCTCGCCACTGGCGGCGGCCGCCAGCGGGGCCAGCGGGCTCCGGCGCTGCTCGGACCCCAGGCTGAAACGACTGCCGCCGGCCGCCGGGGGCTCCGTGTCCACGGTCAAACCGAGGGCCGCCGGGCGTCGGAGTTTGCCCGGGCTACTTGCGGACCCGTGCCCGTTGGGACTGGGGTCCGGGGTGATGTGCACCATGAAGGATCCCTTCGCCGGGGTGGAGGAGCTGCCTCCGCCGCCGCCGCTGCTGCTGCTGCTGCTGCTGCTGCTGCTGCTGTTGCTGCTGCTGCTGCTGCTGCTGCTCCGGAAGGCGCCTCGGAAGAACTTGCTGATGTGGCCCCCACCCCCGGACTGTGATGATGAGTGGCCGCCGCCGGAGCCGGAGGCGCTCGGGCCTCGGGTCATGTTGCTCGCTCACGGTGGCCCTGTCGGGGCCCGGGGCCCGGGGCGAAGCGCGCAAGCAGGGTGTCAGCTGAGGCTCGAAAGGGCGAGAAATCGGGGCGGCGAAGGCGGGGACCTGCTCCCGGGGGCGGGCGAAGACATGCTGCGTACCTGACACGCAGGTGGGAGAGTCACACACACACACACACACACACACACACACGCGGGCAGGCAGGGGGACAGGGCAGGGGTCACGGGATGCGCAGGGAGGAAGGCGCCCGAGGGGGAGAGGGGGAGAGGGCGAGACGGCGAGTTTGCGAAAGAGGAAGAGGAGGAGGAGAGGGGCGGGGGGCAGGTCAATCGTGCCGGGAGCGGAGAACGAGCGAAGAATGATGCCTCCCTCGGCCTGGACGGCCAAGGGCGGTGCCCTGGCGCCGGAAGTAGCCCCTCGCCGGGGACGGCCACCGGCCATGGCGCCGGCGGAGCGGCGGGTGTCGGCCACGGCGCTGCGGTGCCCGTGCCGCCCACACACCTCAGTACTACCCGGAACCCCGGTGCCCCTCCCCCTCCCGGTGCCTGGCTCGCCCTCGCCCCGGGGGCGGCAACGGGGCCGGGCACCCGGCTGCCATCGGCATCGCCGGCCCGTGGCACAGACGGCATGTGCCCCTGCAGCAGCTGCGCACCTGGGGCCCGGCTCTCTGGCGTGCTTGTGCGCGCTGCTGGGCCGGCTGCCCGCTTCGGTGTGCGATCATGATGGCGGCGGGGAGCCGGCTACCCGGGCCCGGCGGCCCACCCCGGCCCGGCCTGCTGGTGTGCAGCTCCCCCGCAGCTGTCCTGTGCGGGCGCGGTGCACGGTCGGCCGTTGGCCCGCCGGGCGGGCTGGGGCCGGCCCCCGCGCTGGCGCGGGCCTGCCCGACGGCCAGCTGGCCACAGGAGGGTAGAAATACCCCGCTGGATGGTGTATCATTTGGCATGCTTGCTTCTGCCTACCCTCCTCGAGCGCGCGCGCCCCCTCTCGCCTCCGCCCTCCCTGCCAACTGACCCGAGCCCCGGCAGGTGGCCCGGTGGGGGAGGGGGGGGG